TTCCCTATCGATTTTATCAATTCCTTTTACTATTTTGTATGTAGTGATCATATCACCTCTTTTTCTTGTCTTCTAGTTTTGGCATATTTAATGCCTCTAACCTCTCCTCGTAGCTCTTGCCCTTCAGTTCTGGGAGCCACTTAGTAGCATGTCTTTGCACCTTTTCCAGTTTGTTGATGTGCTTCTTAAGATATGGGCACCACACAACTGCTGCATATTCTAGCTTTGGCCTAACAAAAGTCGTGAACAATTTCTTTAGTATATCGCCATCCATGTATTTAAAAGCAATTCTGAAGTTAGAAAGCGTGGCATAGGCTCCTCGCACAATATTCTTTATGTGGTCCTCAGGTGATAGTTTTCTATCTAGAACCACCCCTAGATCTCTTTCTTTATCAGAATTCTTTAAAGATTTCTCACATAATATATAGGTTGTGTGGGGTCTATGTTCTCCTATTCCACATTCCATAACATGGCATTTATTAACATTAAATTCCATTTGCCAAGTGGCGCTCCATGTACTTATTTTGTCCAGGTCTTCTTGAAGGGCATGACAATCATCTAAGTTTCTTATCCTTCCTATTATCTTAGCATCATCAGCAAACATGTTCATATAATTCTGTATACCAACTGGTAGATCATTTATGTAGACAATAAACATCACTGGTGCAAGAACTGAACCCTGTGGTACTCCACTTGTGATATTTCTCCAGTCCGATACATTGCCTCTGATCACAGCCCTCATTTTTCTATGTCAGAAAATTTTTCATCCATGTTAGAAGCATACCTGTCACTCCTCCAATATTTTCCAGTTTCCAGAACAACCTCTTATGTGGAACTCTGTCAAAAGCCTTTTTTAGGTCCAGATAGATGCAGTCAACCCAACCATCTCTTTCCTGTAATATCTCTGTTGCTCGATCATAGAAACTGAGTAAATTCGATACACAGGATCTTCCAGATCGAAAACCATACTGTCTGTCTGATATTATATCATTTCTCTCCAGGTGTTCTACCCATTTAGTTATAATTATTTTTTCCAATATTTTGACTATTACACTTGTCAATGATACCGGTCTATAATTAAGGGGGTCTTCCCTGCTGCCACTTTTGTAGATTGGAACTATGTTAGCCTTTTTCCACACATCAGCTACAACTCCTGTATACAGGGATGCCTGAAAAATCAGTTGAAGAGGAATGCTGAGCTCAGGTGCACATTCTCTCGGAACCCATGGTGAAATTCCATCTGGACCAACTGCTTTGTTCTTATTTAGCTCCTTGAGCATTTTTTCCACTTCGTCTCTAGACACCTCTATGTGCTCTATGTTGTTCTCTGGAATTCTTATTGTATCTGGTTCCCTGAAGATTTCATTTTATACAAACGCACTTTGGAACTTTTCGTTTAATGTTTCACACATTTCCTTTTCATTTTCCGTGAATCTATTTCCCATTTAAAACCTCTGAATATTATCCTTTACCTGCAATTTGTTGTTTATGAATTTATAGAATAGACCTGGTTCTGTTTTACATTTGTCTGCAATCCCTTTTTCAAAATTTCTTTCTGCATCTCTCCTCACTGCCGTGTAGTTGTTTCTCACATCTTTGTATCGCTGGTATGTTTGGGGGTTCGGCCTCTTCCTGTATTGATTCCATTTTTTCGTCCTTTGGTCTCTGGCCCTCTCGCACTTTCTGTTGAATCAATCCTGTTTCCTAGTTCTGCTTCTCTGTTTTGGTATAAATTTTTTTGTGCCTTTATCATATATTTCACAAAACCTGACATACATCTCATTCACTTCCTTGCCTAGCATCAAGTCTGTCCAATTATACTCACTAAAAAATTTTCTAAGGTTGCCATAATGTCCTCTCCTAAAGTCAGGTTTTTCATTTGCATCGACCGTCATATTTTCTTCCAGATTATAACGCATTGCATACTTTATTCCCAAAAAGACATGGTCACTTTTACCCAAGGGAGGAAGGTACTGAATGTCAAATATTTCTTCCTCCTTCCTGGTAAATATCAAATCTAGCATGGAGGGGACGTCCCCTTCCCTCATCCTCGTAGCTTGTTTAACATGTTGATACAAGAATGCTTCCAGGATGAGGTCTACAAATTTACAGGTCCAGAAATCTTCTGTTTTAGCTTCATATGCTTCCCAGTCTATGGATTTCAAGTTGAAGTCACCGACTATCAACAGTCGTGAACTATCGTTATCCGCTCTCGCTATGATCTCTCTCATTATTGTTATAAGACCTTCTCGCTTACTATCTAGCTCCTCCTTTGACCATGTGCTGCTTAGCGGTGGACTATATGCATTTATGATCATTAGTTTATCATCCTCATGGCAGATCTCTAGTGGTATTATGTCAACTTCTTGTGGATTGGCAGTCACTATTTCGTTCACCTTCAGGTGTTCTTTCACCAGCACAGCAATGCCACCGCCTTTCCTGATTTTTCTGTCCCGTCTCCAAATTGAGTAGCCCCTTGGGAATATGACCTCATTTAAAATAGCATCTTCAAGTTTTGTCTCCGTGAGTGCAACAATGTCTGGTGTCTGCAGCTGTATTATATCACTTAACTCCAGTATCTTTGATCTTACTCCATCTATGTTGGTGTATGCAATCTTGAGGAACTTGTTCCCCCCTCTTCTTATTTTTCACTCCCCCTTTCTCTAATGATTTTGTTGGTTTGCCTTTATGTACCACTTTACTGGCCTGCCTACCCCTATCACTTTGTAGAAAAAAGAATTGATTTCTTCTTCATTCCTGCTCTCATTTAAACGTTTTTGCCTCGGCGAGGTTCAGTTTCAGCTTCTCTCTATCTTCTTTTGAAAGATCTCGTCTTAACGACCACACTTTCCCATCCTCATCACTTTGTAATTTTCTAGCATTCCTTAGTACTTCTACCATCTGTTTGGTACCATTTAGGGTGATCCTCAAAGGTCGATCTTTCCCTTTTACATACAGTATCTGCCTATTCTCCTGTAGTCGCAGACATTCTCTATGGTAGTAAGACCTTCCACAAGGCCAACAATTTTATCTACTACTTTTGCTTCTTCTACAGCTCTTTCTGACCTAGATGTTATCTCCTTTTCCTTGCAGCCAAAAATGATCAGGGACTAACTCCGATCAACTGCGTTTTGCACCAACTTCGGGTTAGATGCCAATTCTTTCCTCACTTCTAGCCTAATGTTTGTTTTATCTTGGTTGCTGCAGTGTTTGACTTCCTTTACTGCTTCTTCTATTTTTTCCTTCTCCTTGGCCACTTGTGCATAAGTGAGTTGCATATCTTTCTTGCACTGTTCTATTCCCTGTGTAACTTCCTCCATCTGTGCTGACAAAAGCTGTTTCTCCTGTTGAATTTCCTTACCTAACCTATTGTAGTCATTTATGTTTAAATTTACTTTAACTTCTTCCAAAGCTATTTTTAAGAGTATTTTCTTCTTCCATGACTTTGCAATTTGTTTCCAATTTAATCTTATCCTTGCAAAAGTCTTTCACTACACCCTCAAGACATACAACTTTGCTATTTAAATGGTCATTACTTTCTTTCAATTTACTAATTATTTCTACCTGTGTGGGAGTTTTGTCGCTTAAGACCATCTCCCCTTGAATGGTTGCAAGGTCTACATTAATTTTTTCCCAGTCAATCCTCTTATTGTTGAAATTGAATTGATTGAATATTCCTTCTCGCTTGTTGGGTCTCTTAGACCTACTACCGTTATTTATGCTAGTTCGTACTTCAGTGAGCTTATGATCTGAGTATGAAGTATCTGAGATTGTTATGTCTCTGATTAGTTCATCATTGTTTGTGAATAACTAGTCTAGTGTGTTTTCGTTCCTAGTTGGTTCTGTAATCTGTTGATTGAGCGAGAATTTGTCACAGAATCTCAAAAGTTCTCTGACCTGTGGTTGGTCACCGTTGGTCACCACAGGTCTCTGACCTGTGGTTGGAACCGGAAGAAGCAAGAGAATCCAGTACAAAGGGGGCAAGAACCAAAAGCAACCCCCCCCCAACCAGGTAGACAAACAAAAAGAAAAAGAAAATCCCGCAGGAGGACAGCGTACTCAGGCGGAACAGAGCCAGCCGCTATGATTCGTGAAAACAAGCTGCACAGTATCCTGCGCCCCTAACAGTGCAAACTGCCCCTTACCCTAAAGCGAACAAGGAAGACAGAACTCCCTATCTCACACAGGGCAGCCGAAAACCAAGCAGTAACCGGTCCCTGAAGAGTCCAGCAACCAGGAGGCCCGGTCGGGTACTGGGCCACAGGGGCATTCAGCCCCAAAATCATCGCAAAGTAACCGCAGGGCAATTTTGCAGTAATGACAAGAACACAACGGTAGAAGCTAGCCTGGCAATTGAGTCATAGCGATGTTAGGAAAGTCTTGTACCCTGTACTGTATGGGTGGTTGACAATTGCAATGTATTGAAGAGGTAGTCGAGGCCAAATCCATTCACAACTTCAGGAAAACGTATGATGAAAACTTTTAAAAGTTGAGAGAAGTAGATAGTGTGTCCGTTTTAAATGGTTAGGAGATTGGTCATAAAGAAGTAGACCTCGTTGCTCTGTAGTCGGTGATAAATAAGCCCTTGCCTCCTAGGAGGAAACCAAAGTCAAAGTAAACCTATGCAAGTCCTGTAATGATATATTCTAGACTGCTCTGTGGTATCAGACCCTTATGCTCCATCAAAATACTTTGGGGCTAGTCGAAGAAGAAATATACAAGGTGTGTGGAACTGAAATATATATGTTCGCTGATGAATACATTGGGTCCAAATCACCAAGAACAGACAAGTTTAAAGTGGTTTTCCCATAGGAGTATCAGAAGAAAGAAAAAAACATTTACTGTACTCACACTCAACTGACTATAATGGAGTTGCTCTGAAACACTCAAACAGGCTTGACAAATCTATAGCCATGTAGGCTGTATTACTAGCTTTAGGAGTATTTTAATGATTTATTATACATCTATAAAGAAGACTTGGTGGTAAATCAGTCATTTACCAGTTTGTTGTGTCACATTAGGGTTGAGTGGCTCTGGGGTTGGGTGCTGGGGAGAGGTGGCGGCTCCTCGTCTTGGCTCAGATCCACGGTAACCAATGGAGCGTTTCTCAACTCCACACGACGATTCTTCATCTGACAATGTAATCCATCATTTAACTGAATTTGATCATTCATTTAACTGAATTTGATCATTAGTTTAATTTAATGACTAAAATGATTTATACAAGTAAATCTGGCTAATGAAAAGGTTAGGAGAGAGGCGTTGGTTGACGAATACTGTACAGATCTTTCAGTCTCAGGTATAAATTACTCTCAGGTACGCAGGTTTGAGTCTAATCAAACAAGATAGGTTCCAATCAAATCTGATTAAGAAAGCTTTCACTAGCCATATGTTTAACATTTTATCAAACATTATTGTGAATATTTCTACATGCATTCTCATTCCCATCATATGGGTCTACAACCATGTCCGAAGACCAGCATCTGGCACCACCATCATGTTCAGTGGACACTGAACATTTTGAAACAACTTAATTTTGACGTACAAAAATTACTCTTCCTCATAATTGTTGTAAGAAACTTTCACCTTTGTTGAAAATATGTTGGTCACATTTTCCCAAAATGTTTACTTATGGATGTACAGTATACTATATTATCTTACATCATGGTAATATATATGCAGAAGCTCTGGAGATATTGTCACCTCACTTTACCAAATGATACTAGAAATTTAGACTTTTAAACAGGCCATGTTTGAGGCCCAGACTCCATCTCAGTAGAGGCGACTTTATCCTACCGAGACACGTCCAACAGTGGCATGAGCTGACCTAACAGTGATCGTACATTCATGGCGAGATTATTACTTCTATACACTATTATCATCATCATTATTGACACTATAAAGCATTAAGGGGCCGTCAGTTAGTTTTTTAAACGTTATTCAATGTCAACAAATCTTTTTTGACTAGTTGTATATGAAAAGGGCTGCAATTGTTCCAAGTTTCAGTACTGCAGCCTAAATAGAGAGGGAGATTTTTTTTTTTTTTTTATCAACGAATATTACACATTTTCAAGTGTTCATAAACAATCACACCTTTCAGATATAATCATTCTATGACACTTTTCTGTCACATTAGCATATAATAAAGGATATCGAGGAAGGGATTTTCCAAAACATCTTTAGTTTTCCTAATACAAATAGTTAAAGTTCCCCCCAAAAAATTATGCAAATATATCACATTTATTGCTATTATAAAATCAATAAATTAACTTAGGAAGCAAAGCTTGAGCCAGCTTTTAGAGACATACACTCTACATATAAGGTGTAAGTTTCAGGTAAATTGAATAAAAAATGAAAGTTATAAGAATTTTTGTTACTTGAAAATAAATAAGAAAATAATAAAGTCTAAGGTGCTGCCATCTGTGACTGAGGTTGACATCAACCAATTTCCTGGTCCCCCTTGGCACCCTTACAGATAGGCTTACGTGCAGTCACGTGTATAAGTTTCATGCAAATCGTCCAATAAACAAATAAGAAAAATAAAATTTAAAAAAGGAAAACAAAAAAAATCAAAATTTTATCTTTTTTTTAACTTAATTTTTTTTAATAAAACTAATATTTTTTTTAATATATGCTATTGTGATAGCTGAGAGTTATAAACATGATTTCAGTTGACACATGTGTTTGATAAACGTTTTTGACCATTTTGGAAAATTTTTGACACATAATTCAATATTTTTTTTTCTCCCTTCCAATTTAAGCTATGATGCCGAGACTTGGACCATATGAAACCCTCTTCATATACAACACGTCAAAAAAGTTTGATTGAAATCGAACCAGTTTTCATTTTTTGGCATATTTGAATCTGACGGCCCCTTAAAGATAAAAAAAAAAACTTTGGAGTACTAGGATATTGGAGACGATCCTAGCCCTTTAGTGCTAGGATCCTGAAGTAGATCCTGACCCATTAGTGCACTAGGATCCTGGAGTAGATCCTAGCCCTTTAGTGCTAGGATCCTGAAGTAGATCCTGACCCATTAGTGCACTAGGATCCTGGAGTAGATCCTAGCCCTTTAGTGCACTAGGATCCTGGAGTAGATCCTAGCCCTTTAGTGCACTAGGATCCTGGAGTAGATCCTGACCCATTAATATGCTAGGATCCTGGAGTAGATCCTAGCCCTTTAGTGTACTAGGATCCTGGAGTAGATCCTGACCCATTAATATGCTAGGATCCTGGAGTAGATCCTAGCCCTTTAGTGTACTAGGATCCTGGAGTAGATCCTGACCCATTAGTGTGCTAGGATCCTGGAGTAGATCCTAGCCCTTTAATGCACTAGGATCCTGGAGTAGATCCTGACCCATTAGTGCTAGGATCCTGAAGTAGATCTTGACCCATTAGTGCGCTAGGATCCTGGAGTAGATCCTGACCCATTAGTGTTCTAGGATCCTGGAGTAGATCCTGACCCATTAGTGTGCTAGGATCCTGGAGTAGATCCTGACCCATTAGTGCTAGGATCCTGAAGTAGATCTTGACCCATTAGTGCGCTAGGATCCTGGAGTAGATCCTGACCCATTAGTGTGCTAGGATCCTGGAGTAGATCCTGACCCATTAGTGCTAGGATCCTGAAGTAGATCTTGACCCATTAGTGCGCTAGGATCCTAGAGTAGATCCTGACCCATTAGTGTGCTAGGATCCTGGAGTAGATCCTGACCCATTAGTGTGCTAGGATCCTGGAGTAGATCCTGACCCATTATTGTGCTAGGATCCTGGAGTAGATCCTGACCCATTAGTGTGCTAGGATCCTGGAGTAGATCCTGACCCATTAATATGCTAGGATCCTGGAGTAGATCTTGACCCATTAGTGCTAGGATCCTGAAGTAGATCTTGACCCATTAGTGTGCTAGGATCCTGGAGTAGATCCTGACCCATTAGTGTGCTAGGATCCTGGAGTAGATCCTGACCCATTAGTGTGCTAGGATCCTGGAGTAGATCCTGACCCATTAGTGTGCTAGGATCCTGGAGTAGATCCTGACCCATTAGTGTGCTAGGATCCTGGAGTAGATCCTGACCCATTAGTGCTAGGATCCTGGAGTAGATCTTGACCCATTAGTGTGCTAGGATCCTGGAGTAGATCTTGACCCATTAGTGTGCTAGGATCCTGGAGTAGATCTTGACCCATTAGTGTGCTAGGATCCTGGAGTAGATCCTGACCCATTAGTGTGCTAGGATCCTGGAGTAGATCTTGACCCATTAGTGTGCTAGGATCCTGGAGTGGATCCTGACCCATTAGTGTGCTAGGATCCTGGAGTAGATCCTGACCCATTAGTGTGCTAGGATCCTGGAGTAGATCCTGACCCATTAGTGTGCTAGGATCCTGGAGTAGATCCTGACCCATTAGTGTGCTAGGATCCTGGAGTAGATCCTGACCCATTAGTGCTAGGATCCTGGAGTAGATCCTGACCCATTAGTGCTAGGATCCTGGAGTAGATCCTGACCCATTAGTGCGCTAGGATCCTGGAGTAGATCCTGACCCATTAGTGCTAGGATCCTGGAGTAGATCCTGACCTATTAGTGCTAGGATCCTGGAGTAGATCCTGACCCATTAGTGCACTAGGATCCTGGAGTAGATCCTGACCCATTAGTGTGCTAGGATCCTGGAGTAGATCCTGACCCATTAGTGTGCTAGGATCCTGGAGTAGATCCTGACCCATTAGTGCTAGGATCCTGGAATAGATCCTGACCCTTTAGTGCACTAGGATCCTGGAGTAGATCCTAGCCCTTTAGTGTGCTAGGATCCTGGAGTCAATCCTAGCCCTTTAGTGTGCTAGGATCCTGGAGTAGATCCTAGCCCTTTAGTGTGCTAGGATCCTGGAGTCAATCCTAGCCCTTTAGTGTGCTAGGATCCTGGAGTAGATCCTAGCCCTTTAGTGCACTAGGATCCTGGAGTAGATCCTGCAGTACTGTGGTCTAAGTCCTCAACTCAGTCAAGGAACTGGGGATCAATCCCCAGGCAGGACAAAAATGGTTGGGCTCCTATTTCCTTTCACCTGATGCCTCTGTTCACCTAGCAGTACATAGACAGCTGGGATGAAGGCAACTGTTGTCGGTTGCATCCTGAGAAAGTCGGTACTATATCTGACCTCGGGAAACCTTGCTAAGACCTAGGAGGATCTTCATAAGTACAGGCTATATGTCCTCACTAATGGAATTTATACTATTAAATGTTCAGCTATGAGTCACACTTACCTGTATCACTTCCAATTACCAATTTTCTGGATTGTTGTCTTTGCATTACACTTGCTTCTGTGTGTGTATCGGAGCCCACATCTGAGGAGTCTTCAGCTTCTCTATGGCGTCGTCTTACCCATTTCCACTTGTCTACTGGGCACATATAAAGTATAATATTTAAATGGCAAAGTAACTAAGAAATTTAAACAATATAAAATAAGATATTCAGATGACACAGACTAAACCAACATTGAATATAATGAAACGCCAATTTCCGAGTGAGCTTGGTGACTCCCTGAAGATATTATCATGGATAGTGTACCAGCTACAAGGTTGCATCAACCTCAGAGTTCGGCCCGAGGACCAGCACCGGAACCTGGCCCACTCGCAGAGGCACAGGGAGCGGCAACATTTATCCATTTATTTATGCTAATACTGGGCAAGGAAGAGGTGTGGATGGAACCAAGGTATAGTTTACCAAAACCCACTCCAGATCCCTGGACACAAAAACCAGACAGCTCCTGAGCCTCAAATCGGCTACATAATCTAGAACTTAGCATGCAAGGCAGTCGGTGCCTGATAAGCCCTAGCCTCATTTGGGGAGTCAGAAAGTTAAGTCCCACGGGGAGAACAGATCCAACATGATTCAGGGTCGAAGGTGTCACCGACACGGGCAGCATGGCAGAGGCAGAATGAACGAACATCGATGTGTGGTATGGTCAACGCACAACCCTGAGACTCTCACAAGGCAAGTGCAGGTTTGGAGGAGATATCCATGGGGATAACAGAACCTGCAGGGGATTTCCTGAGCCCTCAAAGAATTAACGAAGCAGGACACCCAGGCACTGGGACGCTATGCCGGACCTTTAAATGAAGGATTCAAATGATTATATATTGAATGTATATATAGACGACTTAGTAACCCAACGCAGCAGATGCCCATATGGCTGTGAAGGCCTCATTTGGCATGCATGTGAATATCCAGTAACTGAGGTGTACCTCAGTGAGGCTCTGGGAGTTCCTTTACTCCCCTAGGCTCAGGGACAGGCTTGACTTGCGAGAGCTTGGTCCAACAGACGTTGCTTGGAGCGGCCCACAGGCCCACATATCCGAAGTGCTCTACCAACCCAGTTGGTTCAGCACTTATTGTAAAAAGTCCAGATTTTTTTGTTGAAAACTTCCACTTTTATACTGGCAATACTGTATTTCCTATGTTTGCTGAGAGGATATTGAACAACAGTGGACCTGTCTTGTTCATAGTGGTGTCATTTGATAGTGCCTATGGCACCTCTATGCCTCTTTTTTTTTTTTTTTTTTTTTTTTTTGAGATATATACAAGAGTTGTTACATTCTTGTACAGCCACTAGTACGCGTAGCGTTTCGGGCAGGTCCCTGGAATACGATCCCCGCCGCGAAGAATAGTTTTTACAACCAAGTACCCAATTTACTGTTGAGTTAAAGAGGCTACAGTTAAGGATTTGCGCCCAGTAAATCCTCCTCGGCCAGGATACGAACCCATGACAAAGCGCTCGTGGAACGCCAGGCGAGTGTCTTACCACTACACCACGGAGATTGGTGCAGTGGTCACGCAGCCAATGGTTCTATTCTGCATTTCCTTCCATATCATTCACTCTAGTATGTTGTTATTTTATTGTGCGAATCTGCAACCTGGCCCTCCAGTATCTTCCATGTATGTATTATGTTCCAGTTGCTACTGTTGTCTTGAGGTTAACTTGAGATGATTTCGGGGCTTAGTGTCCATGCAGCCCGGGCCTCAACCAGGCCTTCTTTTTGTTACACATCCACAGGAGCAGCCCATAATAGCTGTCTAACTTCCAGGTACCTATTTACTGCTAGGTGAACAGGCCATCAGGGAGAAAGAAACTCTGCCCATTGTTTCTGCCTCCAACGGGGTTCGAACCCAGAACTCAGGACTACGAATCTGAAGCACTGTCTACTAAGCTGTCAGGCCCTATAAATTACTCCTTAGCATTTCCATTCTGTTATTAATGTAAATAAACTACTGTACTGTTGGTAGAACAACAGACTCCATAAGGTAATAGTCTATGTCGGTCATCATTATGCACCCCCTTTTTATTGTATTCATTTGTTATTTTTCTTGAACTTTCTCATTTTTATTAGCTTGCTTCTCTTTTAGTATTAACACCTTCGCTGGCCCGGCAGGCGACCTGCCGCACACTGCAACACAGGCCGAGCATTGTATGTGAGCCCACCGCCTCACTCCATGTTTATACTCTTTTTTTCAGCTTTCTCACCTCAATTTTCATGCTACATCATTCAATTTGGTATCAAACTGTTTGCAATAGAATGCCTTAAGGGATATTTGCATATAACATATGTCTTACTTTTCTATACTACTGATGAACATTCGATAACTTTCCCTCATATGTGTTTCACTGCTGTAGTCTTGGATTGGCTCCATTCTTGATCAGTATCCATCTTTAAGTAAATTTCAGTGTTTATAAAGCCTGTAACAACAAATACCCGAGATAAAATAATCAGAATAAGGAAATTTTTCGACTGGAGAAGAGGCAGCGGGGGTTGGGAGCAAGGTCACGAGAACAATGAGACTCCAGCGTGGGTGGGTGCCTACGAGGTGGGGTCGGGATGCCACAATGGGTATACAGAGACTGGGAAGATGTTGGCTCACATTTTAAAACAATTCTCATAATATTCAGACCATAAATGGAATGTTTAAATTGTTTTAAATTAATGGAGCTGTTTGCGTCATTCCTCACTCTGCGTATGTTGGTTTTATGACGAAATATGCATGATCAGGCAGCAAAAGTGTTAAGGGCTTCCCTTTCACACCTGTAAGTAAATTTGTTTTCCAAATAATTTTAAGTTTTGCCTGAAATACTTTGCGTAACAGTGGCTTCATTTGTTTGTGTAACTCCTGTCGCCACAATTGTACATTACTCTCATGGTCTTTGTAGACATTCTTTTGAAAACAAAATTTAAAGTTGAATTATTTGATACCTCTCTCATCTCCTTTCTAGGAAATATATTTTGAGAGCTTTGAGATGATCCCAATAATTTAGGTGCTTTATCATATCTATGTAACCTGTCTAGGGGTCTGACAGCTGAGTGGACAGCGCTCCAGATTTGTAGTCCTGAGGTTCTGGGTTCGATCCCCGGAGGAGGCAGAAAAAATAGGCAGTTTCTTCACCCTAATGCCCTGTTCACCTAGTGGTAAATAGGTACCTAGGAGTTAGACAACTGCTATGGGCTGCTTCCTGGGGATGTGTAACAAAAAGGAGGCCTGGTCAAGGATCGGGTCGCGGGGACGCTAAGCCCCAAAATCATCTCAAGATAACCTCAGGAAGATGTATGCCATACATGTTCTCTATACAGTACTGGTATTCCCTGTTTTCACAATGTCACTGAAAAGAGATCTGAAAAGTGGAAGGAAAATCCCAAGATATCTGACTCACTCTGGACGAAAGTCACCACAAGCAAGGAGCGACCTTTGAACACACACACATGCACACACAACTTCTTAAGAAGCACATCAACAAACTGGAAAAGGTGCAAAGACATGCTACTAAGTGGCTCCCAGAACTGAAGGGCAAGAGCTACGAGGAGAGGTTAGAGGCATTAAATATGCCAAAACTAGAAGACAGAAGAAAAAGAGGTGATATGATCACTACATACAAAATAGTAACAGGAATTGATAAAATCGATAGGGAAGATTTCCTGAGACCTGGAACTTTAAGAACAAGAGGTCATAGATATAAACTAGCTAAACACAGATGCCGAAGAAATATAAGAAAATTCACTTTCGCAAACAGAGTGGTAGACGGTTGGAACAAGTTAGGTGAGAAGGTGGTGAAGGCCAAGACAGTCAGTAGTTTCAAAGCGTTATATGACAAAGAGTGCTGGGAAGACGGGACACCACGAGCGTAGCTCTCATCCTGTAACTACACTTAGGTAATTACACTTAGGTAACTACACACACACACACCGGGGAAGAAAACCCTGAAGCTCAAGGGCAGCACCGGGGACCACAGAGGGCAGATAACCCTGTGCACATGCACTTCCACCGACTCTTCATATTCAAGCTCACGCTACACTCCACAGTATACAGGAATGCCCACGAAGGCTAAAAAACCTGCGTTGAATGTAATGAAATGCCATTTTCTGGCTGAGCCCCCAGAGGCTCCCTGGAGCTATCAGGCTAATGTGTGATATGTTAGACCGGGACATTAGCTATAGAGTTCGACCTACCAGGGACCACGAGCCAGAACCTGGCCCCTTCAGAGAGGTTACAGGGAGCAATGGCCCCGGAAAACCTCCCCATGGTTCGGGGTTTTCCTTGTCATCGACTGAGGGTTAGACATCCAGAAAGGTAGGCATAACAAAACAAACCCCTACATGGTAAGAAGCTAACAGCTAAAAACCGAAAAGGAAGGCAGAACTCCCTCCAATCCCAAGTAAACGTAACACTCCACTGCCACACCGCTTGTCCATGCAGCCCTCCCCTCCCTGGAAGGGGGGGAGCCTCGGTTCTCCCCGCGCTGGCTACTCGGACCTCCAGTTCAGAAGCAAAGTATCAAAACAACACGAAAAAATGCCGACCGGATGGAGGGAGGGTTGCCAGGGAGTGTTCAAGGCTCACCCAAAAAATGGAGTTTTATTATGTACAATCAACACAGGTTTTCTGTGGGGAGCCCCTACGGCTCCCTAGAGCTACATACCCAAAGGTAAGGAAAAGAGGGATTTACCCAGGAGACGGCTGCCACAAACTCCTCAACACGAAGTTGGGACACCTGGCTGCAACCTGCAACCCAAAGCAACACGAATGCCCAGGAGCAGGAACGTTGACCGAATAACGGGCAGCCAGGACCCTGTTCAACCTCCAAAATCCCTGTGCCCGAATATCAGCCCAAGACATGTTGCCAAACACGGCAGCCAAAGCAGCAAAATTATGAATGTCATGGACACAAGGATAGACAGCAGGCTGGCTAGACTCAATAACCCTGTGGACGACCTGGGAGACACAAGCCCTGGAACAGGGAACGAGGGAGACCAGATCAACCCAAAGCGCATCATCCTCAACCACCGAAAACAAAGCGTGCAGCTAACGGTGGAGAGCTGCAACCAGACACAACACAAGATGCACCCCCGGCCTG